CAGTGATGTGAATAAGTTTGGACACCCACGCTAAAGTTGCCTAAAAAGAGGAATAAAAATCATCTTTTGGATATTGATCTTAATGCCTTAATTAGAAAAATGAGGAAAACTCCAAACTTTAAGGACACACATTTTCTTTGTAAATGAATAATGTATCATAAATAAATAAATGTTTTTCCTTAAAATACAGGGTGCATAAGTCAGGACACCCCTATGTTAAATTCCCATAGAGTCAGGCAGATTTTTATTTTTTAAAGCCAGTTATTTCATGGATCCAGGACAACATGCATCCTGATAAAGTTCCATTGGCCTTTGGAATTAAAATATCCCCACATCATCACACACCATTCACCATGCCTAGAGATTGGCATGGTTTTACTTCAGTTAGCCTAATAGCTGATTTGATTTGCATTGAAAGATGATCTTATGGAAAGTACCCCATGCCAATCTCTAGGTGTGGTGGAAGGTGTGTGATGATGTGGGTCTATTTTAATTCCAAAGGCAAAGGGAACTTTAACTGGCTTTTAAAAATAAAAATCTGCCTGACTCTATGGGAATTTAACATAGGGGTGTCCTAACTTATGCACCTGTATTTTAAGGAAAAACATTTATTTATTTATGATACATTATTCATTCACAAAGAAAATTTGTGTCCTTAAAGGTTGGAGTTTTTCTCATTTTTTAAATTAAGGCATTAAGATCAATATCCAAAAGATTATTCCTCTTTTTAGGCAGGTTTTTTTTTTTGCCTACATTATATTACATTTGAGATGCCTAAAAAATGTGGCCAAGATGGCCTCTTTCTAGGTTTTGAAACAGAGCTACAGTCTCAAAGGATGTGAAGGGAAAGGAAAATCATTTCAATTTGCCAGTAATATTGAGTCAGCTTTGTAATCTCCGCTTAACTGACTTTAATGCTGCTGGTTTTATTGGTGGAATATTTCTGATATCAGGCAAGAGGGAGAGCTCTTGATTAGGTTTACTCACTGTGGTCTCTCTATTTCTTTGGCAGTGATGAGGTAGAGAATTCACAGTGTGCCCTGAGGCAGCAGAGAGAGCACTTTTACTAACAGACACATTTTCCTTTTTTCCTCTCCTCAAAATGCAAAGGCTGTATTTCCATGTGCACTTACAGTGTACTTAGTTAAGAAAGTACTGGTTAAAATAATGTTACTATATGGGTTGGTGGTCAAGGCCAAGAACAGGCAGGACAAGTAGGGAACAGATAATATTTATTTCTACCAAACAACATTTAGAAAAATAAATCATCCCTGTTAACAAAGTAGTAGTTATGGGTCTTTCATGAATGATCAACTCATTGCGTCAAAATGAACGAAAGGCTCTGAAGGTAAAGTAATTATTTATTTTCCCTGTAAATTATATTTGACTGCATTATCATTTATTTATTCAGAATATGATCAGTAAATGACGTGTTCAGGGAATTTGGCTGTTAAAAGTATAACATTTAAAGCCACTTAAAAGAACAAAATGACTCAAAAAAAAAAAAAAAAAGATTTGTTCATTTTGATGAACGAGATCAAGCAAGAGAGTCAGTAAAATGATCCGAACTTCCTTGATCAACTGTTACTGTGGCTGGACCACTATGACCAATTCAGTTCTTCCCAACACTGCCATAAATACCCAAGCCTCTACCAAACCAATAATAGAGGTAAATATCAAATAATTAATCAAATAAAATAAATAAACCCAAATAAACCACAATCAATAATTATATTTACAACATAATATAGGGGAGAGCGGGGCACAACACGCATTTTGGACTAATTAAAACTAATTAAAAAATAATTAGGTTAGATTAAGTTTTTTTTTTTTTTTACACAAGCAACATAAACATCTCTGCTACAAATGAACACTTAAAGTTTTTTTCTAGGACCTACCATTTTCGTACAGTTGCACTGAAAGTGACAGAAGTGCAAATGTTACAACTTACCCCATATGCGGGGTTAATTGTAACAGAAAGAGGGGTTAGTTGTAACACTTGTGTGTAACACACATAATTCAGTACTATTTTATTTGTATAGTTGAAGAGTTCAGATGCAAAAGCCTCTAAATGCCATTTAAAATTTTCTTCTTGAATGATGATTTTTATCAAACTTGTATATTTAAGTTCAGTAATTTCACTTAAATAACAATTAATAGGTAATTATCATTGCCATTTAAGTGAAATCACTGACCTTAAATATACAAGCTTGATAAAATTATCATTATAGAAGAAAATTTCAAATGGCACTTAGAGGCTTTTGCATCTGAACTCTTCAGTTTGATATTGTTTGTGCATCTGTAGACAGATATCTATACATCCATCCCTCATCCAATCATCCTTCTATTATGGATCAAAATCATGGATAGAGACATAGAAAAGGGCTGCACAGTTTTGCAATAAATAATAATAAATAAAATCATAAAATATTGTAATTGCAATTGAATTAGATTTGTGTGTGGCAGCTGCATGTACAATTATTATTATTATTAATAATAACAGTAATAATAATACAAATGAGCTTTAAATCAAAATTTTAAGAGTTTATTGCATTAAAAACAGGCCATATTTTTAATAAATAAACAGATGATCAAAGCATAGTAAACTAAATTTTAAACATTTTAAATTCCAACATTGTTTGAGAAAGTCCAACAAAGTTAAATGTATAAATAATACTCAAACCTGAAAAGTTGTGTGGCTCCCTGTTTTCATTTGATTATCATTGTACACTTGGCGGCTTGTTTGTAACACTGTGGTACAACTAACCCCACTGTGTGTTACATATTATAACCCTAGCTAACAGTCGCTAGGTGACATGTTTCAAAACGGGGCTATGTTTGAGCCAACAAGACAGTGATTAAGGCAATATAAAGTTAGATTTGGAAGCGTATACAATCAACTCAGAAACCGAAAAAAATGTACTTGCATGGTTTCAAAACACTCTTCTTCACGAAATATGATCAAAACTTTCCGCAAATTCGCGGGAGACCGTCTTCTGGCAGCAAGAGAAAAAGATCGGAAACACAACCTGCTTGATCCTGACGAACTATGTAAAACTATGTAAAACTCTGTGTTACATTTAACCCCCCGTTTATTGTGCCCGCGCTCCCCTACACTTTCTTTTGTGCACTTTCTTTGGTATTGTAACAACTATAAGTATAATATGTACATGGGCGATAGGACTTTAAGATAAAGCGTTACCAGTATACTTAAGTAAAGTTCAATTTTAAAAAATAAAGTTATTTCCATTTTGCTCTATTTAAAAGTCTGTTTCACATGGACCTGGAAGATGCCTTATAAAGGGGGTCACACACCGGACGAGAAGTCGCGCAGCGCCTCGTCTTTAAAATTCGAACACATTATTCTCTATGAGTGTACACACACCGGCGGCGCCATTCGGGGTCTGTCCGCGGCGCCCAGCGACAGCTCAGGACCGTCTGCTGCTCCACAGAGCGCCACTTACATAGTTTTATATAAAATATATATTATTTTTGTCTTAAATCGTTGCCGATGGATCCTGACTTCGCCCTATGCTGCAATACACATTTAGTTTTGCATTCATTTACAGAAATCAGCTGCTTGAATGACAATTGCTGATGTTATGGATTTTTTTGGGTGAGATTCTCAATTCATTCAGTTAACGGATACTCTGAGGTAAAGTTTTCAGACTGTAGACTCAGCAACGATTGTATTTAATTGTACAGTACAATCAGAACAGGCATTATCTTCATTTCCTGTCATTAAACATTACAATATTGCTGACCAACCACTGATGAGAAAGTGCGCGTCCGGTGTGCGATACCTGGAGTTGTCCTAGAGGCGACGCGACGCGGCGCGGCTCTTCCCGTCCGGTGTGCGACCCCCTTAAGGGGAGACTCAATATATAGGAGACTCAATACAGTGTGTAGCATGAGCAGTCTTTGATGTGGAGACAAAGTGAGTTCAGCGTGTCTCTGTGTGGAAACTTGCACTGTCATGAATGGTGTATAAATAACTTGCAACACATTCTCATCCTTTGGCGTCATATAGGTGACGCCATATGACATTTTGTTGAAATACTACGCACATGGCACCCTTTAGCGTCAATATAACATGCACTGTTATGGGTAGGTTTAGGTCTGAGGTAAGGTCTGCGTCTTGTATTGACACTAAAGGATGCCAGTCACCTGTATGACGCCTTGGGTTCTGCGTGTTATATTGACGCTAAAGTGTGTCGTGTGTAGTATTTCGACGAAATGTCATATGGCGTCACCTATATGACACCAAAGGATGAGAATGGGCTCGAACTTGCTATAGTTCCCCTCACATTCTGTATGATACTAGTTTGTTCAACACATTCTCATCCTACACAGCAAAAAAATGTCAGGAGATTTGTCACCATGGGTGTTAAAATTATCACTTTCCGGGTGAACATACAGGTCCATCTTTGCTAGTGTTAAAACAACACTGACGATAGTGTTTATTTTTTAAACACTGTGTTAGTGTTTCATTTAATCACTCAAGGTGTTAGAAATTATTACTCTTAAATATACACATTTAACACTTTATGGTGTTTAATCACACAACTCCAGTGTATTTTTTATGTTGATTTAATGTTTATAATGTATACTTATTTTAAAATGGTAATGCAGATGAAGTTTAAAAAAATTAAACTTTTAAACCCGAAGATATTTTTCCAAAAACCAAGTTACTATGAATTTATTTTAACATTTATTAAAATTTAAATTTTTCAAACATACAATTGAATAAGACAACTCTCCAATGCAATACCATCTTATTATTTAAAAGAATAATTTCACTTTGAAATAAACACATCACTCTTTATTACTCTTAAAAAACTTTATTTCAAAACAATCCAAAAAGTCTGGGATCATAGTAGAATTCTGTTCACTGTAAAGTTAAAAATAAAGGCAAAATGTAAACAGTTGTTTCAAACAAACTATTTTTTTATTAACGAACAAGCACGTTTACATTATAGGTTAATTTTTTAAATAAACGATGAATGCACAATATATGGATTTCTGTCATCAGAATTATATGATGTGATCAAATGGTGTTTAATACTTAAGTCCTGAACATATCAGTGAATGTGAGTCCTGTGTCAGTGAAGTTAATTCAGTACCTTTGACTTTGCAACAGTACAGCAGTGCTTGAGTCAAAAACATTCAGCAGATGAAAAACAGTAGCAGGATATGAGTGGATCAGCTGTATCCAGTCGCTAACAGTAAAGTTCAGTGCAGTTGTTTCACAGAGCAGAAAAGGCTGTGCAGATCCAACTTTAGTGAAAAATCGTTGTAGTACTGGGTACCTAGAACACAAAACCAGATCATTTACACATTTGTGTTTCATAAATACAGCAAGTTTAGAGTGAAAAAAAGTTCAATCATCGACTCAAACAAAAAAACATTTTTGTTTGATTAAGACTTGAATTTACTGATTTCCAAGTAAATCGAAGATTTAATTAATAAAAAAAAATGTAATTCTGTCATTAATTATTCACCCTCATGTTGTTCCAAACCAATAAGAGTTTTGCTCATCTTCGAAACACTTAAAGGGTTAGTTCACCCAAAAATGAAAATTCTGACTAATTATTCACCCTCATGTTGTTCCAACCCCGTAAGAATTTCCTTCATCTTCAGGACACAAATTAAGATATTTTTGATTAAATCTGAGCTATCTCACTCCTCCATAGCCTTCTAAGGGATTAAAACTTGGCGGCCAAGAAAAGTTATTAAAGACATTGTAAAAATAGTCAGAGTGACTACAGTGGCTCAACCTTAAGTTTATCAAGTGACAAAAATACTTTTTGTATGCAAAAAAAAAAACCAAACTAAAAATATTAAAATTAACTATTCATTTTCTTCTGCGTGGGCCTGAGCAAGTTAACAGTGTAACAGTGCAGCGCTTCTGTGTTGTACGTCACACACACACACACACACAACCAGCGTCGGCCAATAGTGAGCCTGTGTGTGACGTACAACACTGAAGCACTGTTACACTACGAGAACCAACTCAAGGCCCACAGAGAAGCATGCATAGTTAAATAAAGTCGTAATTTCTGTTTGTTTTTGGCACACAAAGTATTCTCGTTGCTTGATAAACTTATGATTGCGCTTCTGTAATCACTTGGACTATTTTAACAATATCTTTAATAACTTTCTGGGCTCTCAAGTTTTGATCCCTTAGAAGCCTATGGAGGAGTGAGATAGCTCAGATTTAATCAAAAATATCTTAATTTGTGTTCAGAAGATGAACGAAAGTCTTACAGGGCTGGAACAACATGAAGGTGAGTAAATACTGACGGAATTTACATTTTTGGGTGAACAGTCCCTTTAATGAAGATATTTTTAATGAAATATAAGAGATTTCTGTCCATTCATCTAAAGCCTATTCAACCACCACTTCCAAAGCCACGGAAAGGTATAAAGGAAATCAAAAGTAATCCATGTGACTCTAGTGGTGTAACATAAATTTCACAATTTTAACTCAACTTTATTTACAAAATATTCCTCTTCAATGCACATACATGCACATCAACAACATGCACGAGTTGTAATGTTCTCATGAACGCATGTTGGAAATAAATATTTAATAAATTGGTAAATGTGTTTTTGCTGCAAACACAGCACTTGCATAGTTTAATAAACATTTATGTTAAACCACTGGAGTTGCATGGAGTACTTTAATGATGAACTTTTGTCTGGGGCTTGACAGTGGTAGTTGCGTAGATTGTCAATGGAGGGGCACGAAGCTCTCAGATTTCATTAAAAATATCTTCGTTTGTGTTGTGAACATCGAAAAACGCTCACATGTTTGGAACGACATGAGGGTGAGTAATTAATGACAGAATTTCCATTTGTGGGTGAACTAACACTTTAAGAATAAATTAAGACACGCACCTTAAGAAATCTCACTAAATAGTCAGCCGCCGGATTCTGGAAGGATCGGTGTTCTCTTCTTGTGGCTTTGTAATGTTGGGGGCAGGTGATGGGCAGAGATTTCTACTTGTCAAATCAAGAAAACCATTGATTAGAAATCTTATTTTAAGTTTATATATATATACACACACACACACACACACTTTTGGTAAGTAATTTGACTAGACAAATTCAAAATGTGTTATGAAACAAAGAAAATCTAGTAATACCAAGCCATGATTATTTTTGTTTGTGCCCATGATTCTCTCATATGTTAACTTATCTGTTATCTTTCCATCACCAGGTTCTAGTCTGTACAGTCTTTAAACACCAAGCCTGGTACCCTTAGCCACTTGGTGCATCATAGAATTGCTCCTAGCAAAAACAAATTGCAAAAATCAATAAATTTAAACATTAAAGCATCTCCAAATTTCAACCAAAAGTTAATCTGATCAATACATTTTGCATCAATATTTAATTTGAAATAATTGCTTACCCATTCTAAGAAGATTGGTCCTCCAAATAAGGAAATAAAGTGAAAATTTCACGTGCATTGTTGGTCCGCAGTTTGTGGAGTTGGTCTAGCTGGCAGACGAGAGTAAAAGATAGTTTGAGGATAAATACTTTATGATATTTGCACATCACACATATTGTCATAAAACAATATCATATTATAAAACACGTAGCACAGTAAATGAGTAAAAAACACTTAAAGTTACCTACTCGGTGTTTTCACTGTTAAAAGCAAACTCCGTGTCTGCATTCTGCACTGCTTTTTGAAATGCGTCACGAGTCAAAGATGCAGGACCTGACGGTTTAGGCGCGCACATTACATAAATATCGTTACAAAACAATATAATGCCATGAAATTCATGAGGTAAATTATGTTAAAAACACTTACTGTAGGTGTTTTCCCTGTTAACGTTAAGCCTCCTCCTCGTCAGCTCCGTATTTAGGCTAGTCAAAGATGATGTCGCCTTTGAAAAGAATTTCGACCGTTTAATCGCGCTGGGCATTTAAATATCGCCATGAATCAATATACTATAAAATACATTGCCAATGTAAATTAGAAAACACTTACTTTCGTTGTTTCCCGGTTAAAAAGCAAACCCATCCTGGTCTGCCCCGAATCGCCCGTCATAGAAAATGTCCCTCTGAGAGCGGTTTGCTCGTCCACAGAACATACATATTGTTATAAAACAATATGATGTTATAAAATGAATCTATAAATGCGTTAAAACACGTAATAAATGCGTGTTTCCTCCTCGTATGCCTTGCGACTCGAGTCAAAGAAAATGGCGTCTGTGAGTAAAGTTTCAGCTCGTTTCGTTCCGCCCAGCACGTAAATGTCCCGGATGTGACTAGTAACACTATTATTGGTGTTGTCAAAGCATTCTCAGGTGCTACTTAGATTTAACTCCACATATTTTCACCAGCCAGAGTGTGGTTTACACTAGCTAGTGTTAATCCCTTGAGATTCAACACCAGAAAATTAACACTTTACTCTAAGAGACTTTAACACCAGGATTTCAACACTGAAGATTTTGCTGTGTAGGGCGTCATATGTGATGGTTTTGACATTTCATCTAAATCCAATTCACATGGCACCCTTTAGCGTCAATATAACACGCACAGAGCTTTGTTCGGTTATGGGTCGGTTTAGTTCTGGGGTAGGGTTAGGGTTAGACCACTAGGAGGAGCCTTCTGGCCCATACATATCTGTGTCTCATATTGACACTAAAGGGTGGCATGTGCGTTGGATGTAGACAAAATGTCAAAAGCGTCAATATATGACACCTTGGGATGAGACCGGGCTGCTTTGTTTCAGGGTGGTTAGCAAGAAAATGTATTGTACTGTATTTGAACACTTATTATGAACTCAGACCATCTCAGATCCACAACACAAGCGATGTTTGCTTTGTGAACACAAAAGACTGACTGTGTACCATTGTTGTGCTTATTGGAGAATTTAGTTATCAAAGCAACATGCTAATGTCAGACCTTTTAGAATCACCTAAAAAGTCAAATCTGCAAGGAGGGCATAATAGCAAAATAATAACTGCTTACATCAAGTTTATTACTTTAAGTTGAAATGCATATGCAACTTACAATAACAACAAAAAACATCAGTTTTACTCCATTTTGATAGACCCTTTCACACATTCTGTTGACTACAAGTAACATTTCACCTACACTTCACCTATCCAAAAGTTTCAGGGGTGTTCCTGTAAAAAATAAAGTGGGTGAAACTTCCCGTGACGCGGCGGAAGTAGCATTCCAATGGTATTTTGTGTGTTAGTTAGCGAAGAGGCTAGCTGTTTTTCGGAGAATTATTTTACTATTTAAAGACGCAAATCTTTATGAGAGATGTCGTTACGGAGCTCAGGGGCAACATGTGCTGTTCGCGCTTGTATGTATAGCCGGACTGAACTAATTTAGTGGCTTAAACGGGATTGTTTTAAACATAAGCTGAAAACGAAATCAGAGTGATCCTACCAGAGTCCGTCTCTGATCCTGCCAACGACTGTAGTTTCCATCACTTCCCAAAAGACGACGCATCTTCCTGTGTACATTTGTTTAAATTCTTAATGTTCTATAAACTCTCTCAGCATGTGATTGGCTGTTCTCTACTGTTGTTACAGCTAAACTCAGGATCAAAGCCTGTGTTGACAGAATACCAAATGTGCCAGTTAATGTATTCAAGCAGCACATTCATTTATAATTTTGAATAAACTCCAAAGCACAATGACTAAGTGTGTATTTTTTATTTTAATTGTTTGTCAGCTCACACAACTGTCTGTCACCATGCCTTGATGAGTATTGATTATTATGTTTATTATGTTATTATAATACTCCCAATCAACTACTGCGGAGGGTAAAGGTACTGTTATTTCACCCTTTTGAATTTCGTTGAGGTTGTGTTCCCACATCGTTAGCTAGTTTGGATCGCTATAACTTGAATGACTGTCAACTGTTGAATGAACGAGTGTCAAGCATGTCAAATCGCGCTTTGTTTACTTCCAACCGGAAGTCGCGCCCACTTTTGACGCAAGGCCTCATGGGGCGTAGGAAACTTGTGGGTACTAACTTTCGAGTGTCTGTTCAGTATCTGGTAGGGTTAGAATAAGTTGACATGTAGATGCAACGTTACTTGTGGTCAGTAGAATGCCTTTTGGGGAGCATCACAATAAAGAGTTAGCAGATATTAAGTCTACTAATACTCTAATGAGAGTTAGTTGACACATCGGTGCAACATTACTTATAGTCAACAAGCACACATTCAAAAGAGACCAATCTTTCATCAAAAGTGTTACACAAACTTCATTATATAGAGGTGTTAAAATATTTTAACAGTAGACTGTTAGTGCTCCTTGACTGTTAGTTCTCCTTTATCAGTCTCCTAATGATTGTAGTATTGTCACCTCTCTCTTGTTTCTCCCGAAAGCCAACAAAGCCAGTGATTAGAATAAAAGATCATTAGAACTCAACCGATTTTACACAGGAGAAAAACTGACAGCTTTGTCCATAATTCATTGAGGCCTACATTTTAAAGCTCTTGATTCTACTTTGTGCTTGTTTCAATGAAAGGTTTCCATAGTACTTATGTGTGTAGATTAACTTAGGTCTGTAGTTAGTTTATTAAAGCCTATTACCATTTGTAGGTTAATTATCCTTGTAAAGCATGTGTGCTTTTAAAACAGAGCATCTGTCTGAATTCTGTCCGTACCCAACTGATATAAATCGAATTGGTTGAGACCAACTAAAATGGTCTTTTCACAGTTTATCCCCCAACGTCATCGGTGAAGAGAGAGCAGACGTAACCATTGAGGGTGCAGTCTTTTGAGGCAGGGACTAGACTGAGAGGCGGACATAAGGTGACTTAACAAGCTCTTTCTGACGGATTGAGAAGAACAGCCAGTGCTTAGTAGGGAGACCAAGCCAGTCTGACTCTTGGCTGCATTATTTTGGTTTTCGTGGGTTTCACAGTTGAGTGACAGGAAGGTGACAGGTCGCAAGGAATGTGCCGGAGCCAGGTGCAGCGCAGGCCAGCATCAATCAGCCGAATGGAAGCAAGAGCAAATTAGTCATGACAGGTGAATGGCTGTATTTCAAAAAAATCTGAACGGCTCATATCGACAAACTATTTTTAGGCACCTTTATATTGTATTTCTTCAGGAGATGTAAGTCAAGTTAGTGCTGGTGTAATGAGAAACCAAATTTGTCAAAGTCGATATAAAGTTAACAAGTTATTAAGTGTGCAAGAATATCTATAATCTGGAAATATTCTAAACCCTCAGCACTGCAGGAAACCGATGACATATTTTCCTTACAAGTTGTTGTTTTGTGATACAAAGAGGGACAATTAGGCAATGGAATTGAGACAAATCAGACTCACAATTATTTGTTATATTTAACAAAATATTCTTTAAAACCCAACAAACAAATTGTGTGAGAATTGTATGGGACGACCCCCGAATGGCAATATACACTGAACTGGAGGACCATGACCACTCAACACTAACAACTCTTGTTTCATTTGGGAAACATTGCCGTAATATTGAGAAATATTATCAAATATTGTCAAATTGATACAATATGAAGTCCCTGTATGATTTTGATTTTTGCTTCTTGCTCAAAGTGCTGTACATGCTAAGAAATAATTATTCTTCGGTTGATCTGGAAGATACCCTTCTCTTAGAATAAATTAATAATCGAAAGAGTTCGTTGAACGAACTGATTAATTGATTGTAATATTAATTTCAGCCAAATCAAGTTAATCCAATTAACTGACCCAAATATTCATAATTAATAATAACAAGTTTTTATTGATTATTAATATTCCAAAAAGCTGAGTTCATTACAGTATCTTAGTATTAAACTGTCTGTACACTTACAAAGTTCTCTATGCTTCGTTTTGCATGTATGGACCCTCATTATGTTACTGTGTTATTTTGAGCCTTGTTAGTGGTATAAACTAGCGATTTCTTTTTACTTATTATATGCCCCCATATACTAGTGTTATAATCTAAACAGTTTTTAGAGATACAACTCTTTACATTCGATTATCATGAAAACAAATCTCAGAGACAGTTCACTAGGTATCAATGTGTTATTAGGCCAAAGGTTCATTTTGCGCCAGAGTTCTCCTTTAAGAGCGAGAAAGACGCCAAAATAAGTTTTCATACATAACATTATGTCATTTTAATGAATAATTGTTTTCTAATGTGCAGTGTAATAGATTCAGTTTGGATTAGTAGTTTTATTACTTTATTGGGTTGTATGAGTACTGGTTAATTATAATAGGACATTGGGTATAATCCTTGGGTAGGTGCTGGTCAATAAAAAATATAACCAACACTCTCTCTCTCTCTCTCTCTCTCTCTCTCTCTCTCTCTCTCTCTCTATGTCGTATACATTTGCCTCCCTGGAACACTCGAGCACATCTCACGGATTACACCTGATCCTTGGCAAACAACATTCCTCATCAGCTCTTGAGTGCAAACAAAGATCATATCATCCTGTTGATGAAATGCTGGTGCTGCTTTCTCCACAAGCTTATTAGCTGTGATAAGTTATCTGATTATGCTGATAGACTCCATGTATTGACATTTTCTTCACATAAACATTCTTCCCTTACCTTCTACAAGAGGCTTTGAAGTCCCTCTTTGAGGATTCACATCAAAGCCATGAGGAGAATATGTGAAGAGGGAGGAGTACAGAGAAAGGTCTTTCACTAACCCCGAGCACAGAAACCATTCCTCTAAGATCAGCTGTTTATGTGTGTCATCTTTACGCCAAAAACCATTAGACGACATGCCTTGCATTACTTTACACATAAACATAGCTGTCAACATTGATGTGACACTGTGCGGAGAAACAGAGCTGAGGCTGGGTCCAAACGCAGTGTAGCTTTATTAACAAACTAGAAACAAGACACAAGACTAGAAGCAGGACTCGAGAATCATGAAAGCACCAACGTAACACACATAAATTCAACAACCAACAAAGACAGGGCAGAAACACAGGGCTTAAATAATCAAGGACAAACGAGCTAGACAAGATAACAAGGGGGCGTGAGAAATGAGAAACACCTGGGATAAATAATAGACGGGCAATAACTAATAACGAAAACACACAAACCCACTTCGTGACATAGCCTCCCCCCTATGGGCGGCTCCCGACGCCCATACAAACAACAAAAAGTTCAGGAGGGCGGTGAAGCGGAGACAGTCTTGGGGGAGGGACGGAGGGCCAGGCCCGTGCAGGGGAACAGGACCAGGAGGTAGCCAAGGCGGGCCTGGGCCGCAGAGCATGGGCATACCAGACTGGGCCGGAGACCAAGGCGGAGCAGGACGAGGCGGAGGCCAGGGCGGAGCAGGACGAGGCAGAGGCCAGGGCGGAGCAGGAAGGGACCAGGGCGGAGCAGGAAGAGGCGAAGGCCAGGGTGGAGCAGGACGAGGCGAGGTCCATGTCTGCATCGCCTCCATGGCCCTCACAGGGTACCTACTGCCCCCCCCCCCAAAAAATACTTGGGGAAATCCACAGGGATTTGAAGGGCACAGCTTGAACAGAGCTTGAAGGGCACAGGCCGGCAGGGCGAGGCGCAGAGGCGGGCTAGACACACTCGCTGGGCTGGACAACTTGCTCACTTGAACTGGAGATTCAGCGCTCACTTGAACTGGAGATTCAGTGCTCACTTGAACTGGAGATTCAGCGCTCACTTGAACTGGAGATGCAGCGCTCACTTGAACTGGAGATGCAGCGCTCACTTGAACTGGAGATGCAACGCTCACTTGAACTGGAGATTCAGCGCTCACTTGAACTGGAGATGCAGCGCTCACTTGAACTGGAGATGCAGTGCTCACTTGAACTGGAGATGCAGCGCTCACTTGAACTGGAGATGCAGCGCTCACTTGAACTGGAGATGCAACGCTCACTTGAACTGGAGATGCAGCGCTCATTCGAACTGGAGATGCAGCGCTCACTTGAACTGGAAATGCAGCGCTCACTTGAACTGGAGATTCAGCGCTCACTTGAACTGGAGATTCAGCGCTCACTTGAACTGGAGATTCAGCGCTCACTTGAACAGGAGACTCACTCACTTGAACTGGAGACTCAGCCCTCACTTGAACAGGAGACTCACTCACTTGAACAGGATCACTCACTTGAACTGAAGATTCACTCACTTGAACGGGAGATTCAGCACTCACTTGAACTGAAGATTCACTCACTTCAACAGGAGACTCGCTCACTTGAACTGAAGATTCGGCACTCACTTGAACTGAAGACTCACTCACTTGAACAGGAGACTCGCTCACTTTAACTGAAGATTCGGCACTCACTTGAACTGAAGACTCAGCCCTCACTTGAACTGGAGATTCATCCACTTGAACCGGAGACTCATCCACTTGAACTGGAGATTCATCCACTTGAACTGAAGATTCATCCACTTGAACCGGAGATTCATCCACTTGAACCGGAGATTCATCCACTTGAACCGGAGATTCATCCACTTGAACCGGAGATTCATCCACTTGAACCCCGGAGATTCATCCACTTGAACCGGAGATTCATCCACTTGAACTGAAGATTCACTCACTTGAACAGGAGATTCCCTCGCGGGGCTCACGTGAATCGCGAGTTCGGCTGGGCTAACGTGAAGCGCGGGCTCGGCTGGGCTGACGTGAGTCGCGGGCTCGTCAATGCGCACGTGAAGCGCGGGCTCGTCAATGCGCACGTGAAGCGCGGGCTCGTCGTGACTGACGTGAACCAGCGGTGAAGACGACGAGGGCTTCGCGGGTAAAGTACACCCGGCAGGTGTCGAGTAGAATAAGCGCGCAGTAGAGAAGAGGTCCTGCAAGTAACAAGCCCGAGCGACATACCCGTCAAGAGTCCAGTTGGCAAGGTCCCGCGGCATCCATCGAGCGATCTCATAATCCAGCCCGTTCCAAAACAGGCCCATGATCTGAACATCATCTAGCGCTCCCAGACTGCAAATGGACAGGAACTCCTTCGCGTACCTTTGGACAGACTGGCCCTCTTGCAAGACTGACGACAGGTATTCTATCATAGCCCGGTTGCTGACGACTGCTGGACCCATCTTGAGGTTGGTTGTTCTGTGACGCTGTGCGGAGAAACAGAGCTGAGGCTGGGTCCAAACGCAGTGTAGCTTTATTAACAAACTAGAAACAAGACACAAGACTAGAAGCAGGACTCGAGAATCATGAAAGCACCAACGTAACACACATAAATTCAACAACCAACAAAGACAGGGCAGAAACACAGGGCTTAAATAATCAAGGACAAACGAGCTAGACAAGATAACAAGGGGCGTGAGAAATGAGAAACACCTGGGATAAATAATAGATGGGCAATAACTAATAACGAAAACACACAAAACCACTTCGTGACAATTGAACATTGAAAATAAGGGAGATTTCCCGGAATCTATCCCCAAAATAAGGGATTTTTTTTTTTACACCATTCTTACCACAAACTTAAAAAAAGCACTAATCATTAACGGTCTAAAGAGTTTATAACTACACGATATACATTAAAGAATGACAGACCAATGGATATGTTTAAAGTGCTTTATTTATGAACAAAGTAAACATTAGCTACATTTCATTTAGCTTAAAAGGAGAACTCCAGTAAATTTTAACATTGAGCTAAATTTTTTTCTAAATGTGGAGTGCTGTCAGTACAGAGAACAACAAATGAGCTCAATTTTAAAATTCAATACAAAAAAAAAATGAGCTCAATGTTAAAATTGACCGGGGTTCTCCTTTAATGTTGGGAGACAGAGTGAGAAAGATATGGAGAGGAAGAGACAGAATGTGTGCAAGAGGCAGTTGAACAAATGGATAGAGACAGTAAAGACAACCTTGTCACCCTTCCTGGTGTGAAGCATGAGCCCTATTGTATTCATATGTGGCTGATTTTGCATTTCTTAACACTTTCTGTGAGGGAGTGTATAGGTGAACCGGACCAGTGTGGTTTATTTTACAAGATAGCAATGCACACACAGTGCTGGAATCCAGTGCCATTCGGTTGGTTGTAACAATCTTGCTCACCATGCTAAATGTCCTTTCTGAGCTTGCGTTACTGTGTGGTATACATAACAGTGTCTTTGCAAGTCTAGCCAACTCAGTGAAACGGTCATTCTTTCCTACAAGGCCCCAGAATCTGTCTACTCTTGGTTCTTGTGGGAGATCTTTGCTATCAGTGACTTGAAAATCAATTAGCTCCTCTCTGAGCCTATCCTCATGTATGAGAAACTGTGGGAACAGCGCACCTAGCCTCGACACTGAGAAAGAAAACAAATTAATTTATCATAACCCTCAAGGTAGATTCTGCCAGCTTACTATCTCTGATTTCTCAGCTAAAAACATTCAGAAATTCCTCTTCACTCATCACAGATTTACCATACAAAATAAATGTTATCCCTACCAGTGTCTGGACTTATCTCTATTCGAGATCCAGGATCTAGTATTCTCAGGTCCTTGAGAAGCTGAGAATCAAGTGGAAAGCAAGCAAACATCTTGCGTAAAACTGCTTCGTAGAAAGCTCTCACAGTTCTATATGAAATGGATTTAAAAAAAACAACATGGATTTGTCTTAGACATTTCTGTCACAGTTCTGTCACCCTTGTCTGGGTTTCTCTTGATTTAGTGACAGAGCTGTGCCACTCCTGGTTTGTCATGTGTTTGTTTAGTCTGGTCGGTTGTGAGCACATGGCTGTCATGTTATTTCCTTGTGCCATGTACTCTCCTGTCTATTGTCTAACCCCGCCCATCTTGTTATCTCGTTATTGTTTTATTTCCCCCACCTGCCTGCCTCGTTACCCTCTTATGTTTGTTCCCCTATTTAATCTCCCTGTGTTTGCAGTCCTGTGCTGGTTCGTTGTCCATGTTCCTAGTGTTTCCTGTATCCTGCCTGATTCTGTCTAGTTTTCCCCCACGAGGGAGTTTTTGTTGTAGTTTTGTTTTGTGTTATTTACTTAATAAATATACCCATTGTTTTGCACTTGAGTCCTCGCACCTTAATCCATCCGTTCCGTGACAGAACGAACCAGCCAAAATGAGGACTCAGCAAGCATGGGTATTTTCCTTTTCCCATCTCCCTGCCCCTCCGCTTTTCCGATGGTGGAGAGACTCGATAAGCTCCTTTCACTGCGGCAAGGGGAAAGCAGTGTGAAGGAGCTTGCCTTCAAGTTCCTGTATTTTGCGGAGGGGCTCAACATTGGTGACACAGTGCTTAAGGATAGATTCAACACCAGCCTTAAGGAGCCTGTTCCTGCCTGGGAGATGGGAATGCTGGGGACACTATCATTCTGGCAGTTTGTGGGGTACGTTTACCATCGCGGATCCAGTGCAGACTGGGAGGGTGGTCTTCCGCCACTTGGGCCACCTCCCACTGACCTCACAAACTGCCATGTCCCTGGTCCTCCGATGACCCCTTTGGGGAGAGGGAGGAGGAAGAAAGGGTGTGACCCATCAGCCTCCTATCTAGTGGAGGCTGAAGGAGCTGCAGCACCCCCAGAGGCAGTTACTTTCTCATTGCCTCGCCAGCGCAGGAGGAGGAGGGCTCCTGATGCTTCCCTTCGGCCGGTGGTCCAGGAGGACCCAACTTCGACGGTCTCAAGGCCAGTAGTCCAGAAGGACCCGACTTTGGCGCTCCCAAGCCCGGTGGTCCAGGAGGACCCGACTTCGATGGTCCCAAGTCCGGTGATCCAGGAGGACCCGACTTCAGTGGTCCCAAGCCTGGTGGTCCAGAAGGATCCGACTGCAGTGGTCCCAGAGCTGTCCTCTCTCCCTGCAGTGCTCTCAGAGGTGGCCAAGAAGCTCGTAGCACCAACACGCTCACGTAGACGGGGGAGAAAAGCTTCCGGCCAACTACAGGGTCCGGAGATGTTTCCGAAGCCTGCAGCCGACTCCCCGAAGCCCCTAGTAAAGCCTGCAGTTGAACCTCTGAAGCCTCCAGTGAAGTCTGCAGTCGAACCACCGATGCTTCCAGTGAAACCTGCAGCTGAACCCTCGAAGCCTCCAGGGAGGCCTGCAGCCGCGCCCAAGCGCCTCGCCCTGCCGGCGCCGCCCAAGCGCCTCGCCCTGCCGGCGCCACCCAAGCGCTTCTCCCTGCCGGCGCCGCCCAAGCTCCTGGCCCTGCCGGCACCGGTCATGTTACAATTCAAGCCCGAATCTGTTCACGTTGTTCCTGCCATACAAGAGACTGTTCACGTCAGTTCTGCCGAGCCAGAGACCGCTCCCACCAGGTCAGCCATGCCAGTGTTTCCTAACAAGGTAGCCGCTGCCAAGCCGGGGTCTTTGGACAGTATGGTCGCTACCGAACCAACGTCTCCAGACGATATGGCCATGTCTGTTTCTGAGCCGGTGTCTTTTCCTGATCCGGGTTCTGTACCTGAACTGGTGTCTGCGCCTGAACTGCCTGGTCCACCCAGGCCACCTGAACTGCCTGCTCAGCACTGGTCACCTGAACAGCCTGGTCCACCCTGGCCACCTGAACTGCCTTGTCCGTCCTGGCCACCAGAATTGCCTGATCCGTCCTGGCCACCTGAACTGCCTGATCCGTCCTGGCCACCTGAACTGCCTGGTCCGCCTTGGCCACCTGAACTGCCTGGTTCACCCTGGCTGCCTGAACTGCCTGCTCCGCCATGGCCGCCTGAACTGCCTGCTCCGCCCTGGTTCTCAGTGAGGAATCCAGACCCGCCTGAGTCTCCCTGGTCCGTCCCGCCGGCACCACCCTGGTCCTCAGCCAGGAATGCAGACCCACCCGTCCCTCCCTGGCTCAACCCTCCCGTCCCTCCCCTCTCTGTGTATGTGTTCTGATCTGCTTGTCTTGTCTGCTGTTTGGTCTAACACGTTGGATGTTCCTGTCTTGTTTTTGGTGTCCCTCCTTGGGAACGCCAGGTGGCGTCCCTTTGAGGGGGGGTAGTGTCACAGTTCTGTCACCCTTGTCTGGGTTTCTCTTGATTTAGTGACAGAGCTGTGCCACTCCTGGTTTGTCATGTGTTTGTTTAGTCTGGTCGGTTGTGAGCACATGGCTGTCATGTTATTTCCTTGTGCCATGTACTCTCCTGTCTATTGTCTAACCCCGCCCATCTTGTTATCTCGTTATTGTTTTATTTCCCCCACCTGCCTGCCTCGTTACCCTCTTATGTTTGTTCCCCTATTTAATCTCCCTGTGTTTGCAGTCCTGTGCTGGTTCGTTGTCCATGTTCCTAGTGTTTCCTGTATCCTGCCTGATTCTGTCTAGTTTTCCCCCACGAGGGAGTTTTTGTTGTAGTTTTATTTTGTGTTATTTACTTAATAAATATACCCATTGTTTTGCACTTGAGTCCTCGCACCTTAATCCATCCGTTCCGTGACAATTTCAATGCGGGTTAGAACTAATTATAATTATAATGTACAAAATAAATCACTTACTGAAAGAATTTGTTCCTAGTTGGAACAGGGAACTCTGCAGTTCTAATGAATGCCTTTGTGTCCCCTCCGATGAAGAGGTCCTCGTCTGCCAATTGATGTCCCTCTCCAAAATTCACTTCTTTGAGAGGGACATCCATAATCTCCTTGGCTGGAACAAGGCACCCCAGCAACCGCTTGATAAGCCTAGTATTCTCTTTGTCCAGCTTGTGTATCTGTACCTGCTCTGACTGTAGATGGCAAATAATAGTGAAATGATAAGGATTATCATCAGTGGTTATCAATTTATTATTGTGACAACTAGGATATGATGACTATACCAACCTGAAAGGCAATATTAAAGTCTGATAGAGGCTTAAGGGCAACACTGAGGAACTTGAAGTATGCCTTAATCAATGGATCGTTGAGATGTTTTGACAGATCCCTAATTTTGGTGTTCGTCTCCACCCCCTTGTGACTGTTAAAATATGCCTATAGATAAGAATATATGGTGAAAAAGAAAATACCATTATAAAATATAATTTTTGATTGGCATGTTTTATACACACACACACACACACACACACACACACACATATATATATATATATATATATATATATATATTTCCATTTCAGTTTATCATCATCATCATCATCACACAAGAATTATGTAATTATTTTTAGGAGTCACATATACTATAACAAACCCTACCTGAAGAGCAGCCCACTGGTTGAGAACTATCTCTATACAGCTCAGCAGACTGAGCCATCTGGTGCTGCAATATCGAAGCAGTTTCAGGCTGTCAGAATCCGTAAACTCTACAAATTCTTTGTAGAGTTCACATCTCTTTGCGCTGAAAACAAACACAAATGAGTTATGTTAGTGTCAGTTAACACAATAACAGCTACACAGGAGAGTGAGAGAAAAGAGTGCCTGTCTACATATGAGATTTACCTTTTGTCAAAGTGTGTGTAAATGCCCACCAGTATGTCTTCCACAGGCAGCTTTGCAGCCTTCATGCCACAACCAGTGGCAAGCTGGACTAGGTGGCAGATGCAGCCGAGATCTTGCACATTAGGCTGGTTTGTTTTAACCCTGCTTATTACTGAGTTGTGCCTGCCTTTCATGACACTTGCGTTATCGGAATTGAACGCAATCAGATTTTTCCAGGGAATGCCACGATTCCTAAAACCAGGAGATGGAAAATGGAGCCACAATGTCTTTGATAAATACTGTATGTAAACGCTGAGAGCGTGAGTGAGAAACAGAGTGTGTGTTTGTGTGTGTGTGTGTGTGCGTGTGTGTGTGTGTGAGAGAGAGAAAGACAGTATGTGTGAGTGTGTGTGTGTGTCTGTGTGTGAGCGAGAGTAAGAGGGTGTGTGTGTGTGTGTGTGAGAGAGAGAGAGAGAGAGAGAGAGAGAGAGAGAGAGAGAAGAGAGAGAGAGAGAGAGAGATAGAAAGAGGTGTGTGTGACATTGAGAGAGAGACTGACCTTAGTGTTATGTCCAGTTTGTTGAACAAGTTTTCTGCATTGCCCACATTGCATGTGGGCATGTCTAGAAACTTTGTAGCTACTTCCAAGTTTGCCTCATTGTATACCCTTGCAAGTATGACAAATTGCTTATCAGTGTTTCTGTTGTTGGACTCATCATATAAAAGAGAGAATGGCTGGGATTTACAGATTGATGTCACATCTTCATCCATGTCCAGAGCTATGGCACCTGTGCAGCAAAATTGTTAACATTAACTTGCATTGACTTAATATAAACTAAAACCATCCTTACACCAGAAGACTTTGACACGATTTGGGAAAAAATATTGAAAGATTGTAGTCTTTTGAGTAAGGAGTGAATGTGGGAGTGGGACATTAGTTAACGTTAAAAGACTGCAATATTTCAATAATTCGGAAATCTTGTTAGTCTACTGATGTATGAGTAGCATGAGTAATGTTAAGTTGTGATTCGTGAAAACCACTCATGGTGTAGCAGCTACCCGTACTTAGTAACGTTAACGTTAGAAAAGCTTAGCTTAGTAACTCCATGTATAGTATTTAAGTTAGTCTTACCTTTAATGATTTGTGTAGCCTTCGTTTTCCCCAGAGCGTATTTCTTGGCAATCGCTGAATCTGGGAACATGTCAGACACACTACGGTTGAAGTCGTCCAAAAAACTGAACGCGACATTGTTTTTGGCAATTAGCATCGACATTTTCACCTCAGCTTTTAATATTTGGTCAGCTTCAGAAGAGGCACGGTTCACCACAAATGATGCTAAGGATGTTGTGTGCCTAGCTGACTCACTCGCGCGCTTGTGTTTCAGTGATTTGTCGTGCTGCGAAACGTCATTTTTCCCTCCGTGACCAACACTGAAATTACAACGACAAATTTTGCAGTGGGCATAATTTGGTCCAACATGGCTACTTGTGAGGTAGTGGAAGGTGGTCTCCCATTTGCTTAAATAGCGGCATAATGTCCGCGCTTTTGGTTTGTGAGTGTTTCGGAGATTTTAGCCGTCGGCGTCCTCCTGATCCATCATCACATTTTTTTACCGTTTCTCTCCTTCAGAGTTCCCGCTAATTTTCCCCCTCCTTCCTCCCGCCCCTCAGAACTGTCTTCTTCTTCTTCTTCTTCTTCTTCGATAGTGGCCTACTGTCTGTATATTGCCACCTGCTTTACTGGTCTGGCAGCCCAAGTGCAAGTCACTTTACAGACAGATAGTTGCGTGTTCTGAGTTGACACAATTGCTGGTGTGTGGTGAGCGTTCTGGCGCAATATGGCTGCCGTCGCATCATCCAGGTGGATGCTGCACATTGGTGGTGGTTGAGGAGATCCCCCCCCTCTATGTGAAGCGCTTTGAGTTTCCAGAAAAAAAAGCGCTATATAAATGTAATGAATTATTATTAATTATTAATTACAATCAAAGCGTAAAAATACGGGATATTTTACGGGAAAATACTAAAACGGGAAGACAGCGGGAAAAGAACTAAAATACGTGAGAAACCCGGAAAAAACGGGAGGGTTGACAGCTATGCACATAAATGTACACAAAAAGACTGTACTTTTAATAATCACATAATTTTTTTTATTCTTCAAACCTGATATAAAAGAGTTGATATTGTCATCGTTTTCATCATTAAAAACAAAAGAGATTCATATTCATATGGGCACAAACTTGCAGACAACATGGAGGTTCTGTCTTTTGTCAACACATTGAAATTCAATAACTTTTGAAGTGTTGTCTGGGAAATAGGCCTTATAATGTTTCACGCCGGATGTTGTTTACTGTATCTGTGTTTGCTATCACCCATTTTGGCCATAATAGAGAGAGTCATTTCCTGTGCTGATGACTGGACTTTTTAAGACTTGTTTTTTTTCCTCTCTGTTGTGAAGGAAATCAGTGTGAGCAGAGAGCCTGATAATTGTCCAGTGATATTAGATAAAATGGGAGGCATACATTTTTCATGGTTATCATTTCTCTCTTGTCACCCCTGAGGGCTTTCATACATCTTTTGTCGTACATCCGGAAGAGTTGAAAATGCATTTGTTTTCATTTACAGCATCTGCAGATACGCAGAACGGGTCCCTGGTGGCCAATTGACACGTTCTTCTACACCTGTTAGCACACAGATATTTTGATCAGGCTTGGGATGACATGAGTTAATGATGCCACAATTGAAATTTTCTGGGGGAACTTTAAAGGGGAAATATCATGCAAAATCCACTTTTTTAGCCTTTAAATGCATTGTGTTGTATATTTGGAGTGTTTATATACAGAAAAGATTATAAAGCTTCGTTTATATCTTTATATTCCGTTTTGGACATATTTTTCAACCTGTTCAGATTTTTCTGTTCTCTATGATGTTTTTTGAAGAATTATGTCACAGTGTTTGCAGCGGAACTGCCAAATAAATCCATTCGAGCAATCCGCCATTTTTATTTCTCACTCCGATTTTGTAGTCCAAGCTCAGTGATGCAGAAGTTACGAGAGGGCAAGTTAAAATATTTGGTTGTTGGATGTTCGGTTGTTGGCAGTTTGCTGATCGACTTCGTCTGAATAAGGGGTCAATTCCTTCTATCTATTGAGACTACGAACAGAGCATTTCGATAAGCTGTAAATATCGTTGATAAAAATAAAGTAATTTACTTTCTTAAAACACATGGTGGTCATGGTTTAACAGTACCTTTTTCTTTCTTTGTTTTTGTTTTGAAGTAACGTTACACGTCTGCAGTATTGTTGTTCTTGAGTTTCATCAATGGTCATTTAGCTGCTGTGTTTTCTGATGCTTTTCTAAACGTATCATATTATCAGATTTTTAGTGCACTTTCATTTCATTCACAAGAAGATGTTTAAGATGTTTCTAAAATGATTACATTTTAGGAAAAATAACTTCAGTGCATCACAATTAGGAATGAATGACACCCCATT